GTCAAAATCTAATATGGCCACCGTATGCAAACTGACCACCCCTATCATTTGAGGACACGATGCTTTCTAATTGTTAAAATTTCTGTTTTTTAAACATCTGGAAGGAAAGGGATCACATGCACAACTTTCATTTATTTATTTTTCATCTGCTTTTAACTAGGGATGCACGATCCACTTTTTTTCACTTCCGATCCGATACCGATATCTATTGTTGGGTGTCAGGCGATACCAATCCGATCTGATACAGAAAAACAGTGCTGAATTAACAAAAATGGCTAAATCATGTCATCTGGACCTGTTTCTGAAACTGGTCAAGATGACATGATTTAGCCATTTTTGTTGTCTACCTGGATGTTTGAGCTTACAAACCCAGTGCTGATTTAACTTAAAACATTTGTTTTGTTAAACACGGTCATGAATGTACTGAATTACACATTTATTGAAAACTGCACCATACAGCACACTTAAACACACCAAGAGCTTCACAAGCTTGGTCAAACATGTAAAAACAACACAACTTCATTTTGTTCATTCAGTACGCTAGCACGTGACGTCACTCTGAGCACAAAGATTAGAATTAGAGTGAATAGATCTGCCCAGTCATGGATCGGTCACATTGTCACTGATACCCGATCCAGAAGTTTTTCCGATATCAGTCACGATACCGATGTCAGTATTGGATCGGTGCATCTCTACTCTTAACACCATCCAACCTCACATCTTAGTAGTAGCTTTTAGAACAGTTTGACATCTGTTCTAATCTTGTGGGCTGGATTTTAGACTTTCTAAGGAACAGGACACAGAGAGTGAAAGTGAACGGCTTTTTGTCCGAGCATGGTTGCTCCTCCACCGGCTCTCTGCAGGGAGGTATTCTGTCACCTCTCCTTTATATCTACACAAACGTGCCGTAGAAGCAGGGAAGACAGAGTAATTTTAAAGTACGCAGATGACTCCATCATTGTTAGCTGCTTAATGAAAGAAACAGGCCCTGTGCTGCAGGACTTCACTCAGTGGTGTGATGAATCCTATCTGCAGATGAATATTTCAAAAACTAAGAACATGATTATTGATTTTAGATTACACACTAAAGCACAGGAAACTGCTCTTCTAACGGGTACTGGTAACTGGTAATATTTGGGTACACTTATTGACAGTAAACTGAGCTTTGAGGCAAACTGTGAAGCCGTCTATGAGAAAGGGAACCAGCGCCTGTTTCTCTTCAGGAAACATTCTTCCATCCACATTAATAAAACCTTGTTGACTTTATTTTAACAAGCTTTTATTGAATCGGTTTGGTCTTACTGCTTCGTGTCCTGGTTTGGTATTTTAACTCTTACTAACAAGAATAGTCTAAACCAAACAGTCAAATGGTCCAGTAAGTTCACGGGTGAGATGCAGCTGAACCCAGAATCTTTGTACTTCAGGCAGGTTTCTTTTTTATACTTATTGTGTGTCTATGTCAAGTTTCCTGTCTGGCAAGAAAGCTGACGCACCTCATTGTAACCAAATCTACAAAGTACATAAGGGAATAAATCAAGTTGATTGATTGATTGATAATTGTTTATACTGCCTCAAAGTATATTTTCCTCAAATGTTAGGCTTAAGATTAATCTATGGTGGTCAAGGCCAACATTAGCAACCTCCTGGCTTCACCACTGTGCCTGGTTGTGGATACAATTGCTCCCTCCTCTCGTCAGGATCTATCACTCTGTGCTTCATTGAACTGAGTGAGCAAAACTGAGTGACTGAGTTAGTAAAAACCTTGAACCCTTGAATAGTATTAATGAAACTCAGGAGAAAAAAAAAATCATTGTATGTGCATCTACATTAAGTCAACCTGATTCAAGATGGCTGCCACAGCTCTCGCAGCATGCCCAAAAAATAAATAGCCTATACGTCTGTGAGTTTAACAGAATGGGAGCTACAATTTGTTGTGGTAGTAGCTGACTGTCATTCATGACATTTAGTCCAAGCTCAGTCAGGTCATGTAGGATATTGCATGGAACTGTACATAGTTATTTTTAAGAATAAAAAAAAATTAAAAAAAATATATATATATCATTTATCAATGTTAAATAATCTTAGTCTAAAACTGTATTGATTAGTTTACATCAAGGAGTGGTATAAATAAATGTTATTTTTTTTAGCCTGTGTGTCGTATCTAAATAAGTTAATCAGCTAGCTGTAGTGTGTGAACAAGCGGCTGTGGCAGACAGAAAGCAGAGGAGGTTTTCCCGGGGCAGTCCCCAGCACAATGTCAGGTTTGTCTGGCCCCAGTGCACCAACACTAAGCTTTTCGGAACTGGCAGCTCGCCCCGGTACTTACCCATCCCGTCCAGCTTCCAGAGCTGTCCGGCCTCTGAGCACTAAGCATTTGTGCAAAGTTCATAAGGCTTCCTTCTGTTTGTGTGGATATAATAGAGGCTCCATCCTGTTGTAGCTCATGGGCTCACAGGGCCTGGCGCTGCTGCTGCAGAGGAGTGTTCTCATTTACTGACTTTACAGACGGCATTTAGTATGAAGAGACACCATCCTCCCGTCCCCTCATCCGCTGAATCTGAAGCAGTTTCAATCAACAACAAATGCAATACAATTTTACCCTGAGACTGTGTTTGTTCACATTTTCTTTTTTTCTGTTTTTTTTTTTATTTTTTTTTAAATAGCACGAACCACTGGACAAATTTGAATAAAACTTGCAGAAAGAGATTATTGGATGTACTGTACCTCTACAACTAGTGCTTAATCTGAGCCGGATCATGATGGAACAGGATCCGGGAACTCTTATTTTGACAGGGTGCATTCTAGTAACTGTTTGCTTGGATCTGGTAACTCTCAGGCTTACTAATGAGGTGGATGGGTTAAATGCAGAGAGCCAATTTTGCCTTTGTATAGGAACATACAATGATGACAGCACATAACATATTATTATTATGATAAAGTTGTGAATAAATTTGACTACCTTGAATAAATAAACCTATGTTGGATAAGTAATCTGAAAATAATTACATCAACTCTAATTTTGATCATAGCCACTTACGAGCTTCCTAATATCTACAGGTGGCTGTGACTGAGTGGTTAGAGCAGTCGTCCTCCAATGCAACAGTTGGCGGTTCGAATCCACCAGCTGTCACATGCCAAAGTGTCCCTGGGCAAGACAATGAACCCCTGACTGCCTCCGATGTGTGTCCTTTTAGAGTCAGAGAGTCAGAGTCAGAGATTCTTTATTGTCATTCGCACCTCATGTGGTACATGTGGTGGAGCGAAATTATGTACACAGGGTCCCAGTTACATCCAACAATAAAATGTATAAGAAAAACAGTAATAACATCTAAGATATGAACTAAGAAAAACATCAACTAAATATACACTGAGCACTCATAACATAAAAACACAATTTATATTAATTATAAATAAATTATGTTTATAGGTGCTACTCCTTGATTTTTGCTTCACACTTCAGCATTAAGTGTTGGTTTCAACCCTGCTTATCTGCTAGCAAAATAACTTATGCACCACTGGAAATATTTTATTGATTCTTTCACAGAGGTCATCTTTGGATGTCCATCTTCAATTGATCTAGTCTTTTCAGTTCAATATGGCCACCAACAATAATTCACATTAGACGACGAAAATTTGTTATAATTCAGTCTATTTGACAGATATTGAGATAAAATTTGACGTGGTAGTAGTTGAGAGTCATTCAGTCTTTCAAGATATATATTCTGAGCCTGACATAAATGACATTGCATGAGCTTGTGTTAAACCTTATCTTCAACATACAGTAATAGTCTAAAACACTGACTTGGTAGGCCATTAACATTAATAAATTGTATTGTTGAGCTTGACTTACTATAGAAAAATCCTCAATTCAGATAAAATTTGTGTGTTTAATAGGTGTGTAGTGTAAGTTTTTATGGAGATGTTGAGTTCTGAAACATCTGTTCTGTTCTGTCAGGTGTTTAGTCTCGTTCGGACTATCAGGATTCGTGAGGCCCCTGTGGTAACAACCTTGTCATTTCAGGCTGGACGTCCCGTTCCAGCAGTCGCTCTTCCGGCTGCTTTTTATCACGGTTACGACTCACATCAGCATAATTCAAGCATGACCCTCCTCCCTCCTTTCATTTTCTGTCTCTCTCCCCCGTTAAGGCCCAAGCCTCTGTCTAGGGTCCGCATCATACATCATCCAGACTGGGGGTCATTTTCTCCCTCCCCCCAGTGTGTCGTGGGAGAGTCAGCTCTTTCTTGGGAAGGTGGAAAGCTCTTATCAACGGTCTCAGCACTCATACTGCATTGAGTGTTACCTCTAACACAGTTTATCTGGATATCATGGAGAGAGGTCTCTGGAACAATCGAAGTCCACCCAAACCTTTTAAAAAATGTTTTAAACGACAACATGCAAAAGTGTCTTAGAGTAGGGGAGTAAAACAAAAGCTCTGTGACGGTCTTAAGCAGTTTGATCCAGTGCACTTTTCAGCAGTATTAGCGTTTAAGCAGCTTGTCGGCGACTGACAGAACGAGCTGCAGCGAGAGCAAAACTCAACAGATTTTCACTCAGCAGGAAATCTGCGCTCCCACCCAGTATTCTACGTACCCCCCCCCCCCCCCCCTCCACACACACACACACACACACACACACACACACACCACCACCACTTCCAGCTGATTATTGCAAATAGAGCCTTTCACTGAGCCTACAGGTGCATTAAACATCCTAACCAACTATCAATGAAGGGGGGGGGGGGGGGGGATGAGACTTGCATTCCTTCACTCTGCTTTGTGCACACTTGCTGAATAGCTCTTAGATGGGGCTTTGTGGGAATGATTGTCAGTAGCTTAATGAGCTTCTTTGCCAAGCTAAAGGCTTTGCCAACATATGTGACTGCAGAGCCTCTGCTCGACTCCAGCCTGTATGAAACGACGCAGAGCGTGCTCAGCACTCTTCATCGCTGCAGAAATCAGAGATCTCTTACCTCGCTCTCCTTTGGTCTGGATTCTATTACCTGGGAAGGAATTGCTGCTTCTCTCATGGGGACTGGGGCTGAGAACAGAATACAATCTTGTGAGTACCCAGCAGTATGTGTGGATTTCTGCAAAGTACTTCCAGTATGTCTCAGGGTAACGTTGGGCATTTCTGAGGAGATTTTATTTACAACAGAAATAAATCAAAGAATCAGTCGTATTTAATGAAAATAATTCATTTCTGAGCAAACGTTTGTTTTTCTATGTAAAGATGAAAGTAAACTTTTTCACATTACTTTTGAATTATTACTATGAAATAATACATGTCCAAATATTTGGCATAAAAAGAGACATTTAATTAAAAAAAAAACGTGTTTGTATTAAACATTATATCATTTTGTTGACTAGAATATCTGAAACATTTGATTAGGATTCTGGTTTATGTTTAGAGATGACAAGATGGAATCTTGTAATTAGATTTGTTTATGTGGTTTTAAAAACATTGTACTGTTATTTTGCGGAGCATGATAATCTTTTCATAACATTGATCAATCCTCCAACCCTTTTTCCACAACTAGGATTTTAAACATAAAAACTGTGAGATTGCATGCTACCTTAACCACTGGCTTCAATCTGTCCTGCTTTATGTTAAACTTTTATTCAGAGTCTTCTCTTTGAGGCTTTTGTATGCTGCTTGTATTTGTCCCTGATGGTAGATGAAGTAACAGTTGTCTGGTATCATCTGCTGCCTTTGCAAAAAGTCTTCATTTCATGTAGCCTCACTTCCCTCTCATATTCACAATCACTCCATGCCATTAGAGTTGCAAGATTTTGTGAAATGAAGCACAGTGTCAACAAATCTGTAGAGAAAATCAAATCTTGTGTTGTACAGTGTGTAGAACATATTGAAATAAAGACAGCGTTTCTTAAAGAAGCATCTTTAGAGATCACCACCTTAGTTTTAGAATAAAATCATAATAAAGTATTAAAGCTTACTGCTAAGCATTCCTGCCCTTCACTTGGAAGGCTGGGAATCAACCCCTATTGAGGGAATTCTGTTTTGGGTGGAGTGTAGCTGTTGCTTATCAACAAGAAGGTTGCTGGATCAAATCTTGACCCGGGGACCTTTCCAGACAGTTTGCATGTTCTCTCTGTGGATGAGTGTTTTTTTTTTTCTTCTGGGTACTCCACATTTCTTCCCACAGACCTATAACATGCATGTTAGGCTGATTGGTAACTAAATTGTCTCTATGTGTTCCTGTGATGGACTGGAGACCTGTCCAGGGTGTCCCCCACCTGCAGCACAGTGACTACTGGATATGGACACCAGTGACCCTGGTGGCTGGAAAAGGAAGAAAAGGGTAAATTGGATGTATGTATGTATGTATGTATGGATGGATGGATGAATGGATGGATGGATGGGAGAGTGGTGATTCAGAGGTTAGAGCAGGTGAACTTGTGATTAAGATATTTCAGGTTTGAATTCACAGACAATTACAACAAATTTTGAGTGGGAAAGGTGAAACACCCACACCTGCCTCCACTCTCATTTGCCCCACTCTGGGCCCTTGAGCAAGGCCCTTAATCCCCTAGCTGTTCCCGGGTGCCCTAGATGGCAGCTCTCTGCTCCACACATGTGGGCTATGGTAGCTCAGTGGTTGTCAGGAAGGGCATCCAGTGTAAAAACATTTGCCAAGTGTTTGTATGAACTAACTCACTGTGGCGACCCCTGAAGAAGGGAGCAGCCGAAAGAAAAATAATCAAATCTGTCCTGTACTTCTTGACATATACTGGTAATAGCAAAACAGAGTTGACTCCAAAGTATTAATGGCAAAGTTTGAAACACAGATTGTGTGCAACAGGTTAGAGCTCAGAATGTGTGATAGGGATCAGTCTCAACTACCACCAAATCATTTTAAGGTGCAGCCTGCATGAATCTGATCCACAACAAAAGTTAATCCGTTGTTGTAATTGCCCCCATCCCCTGCATTTTTTTTTTGTGTTTGCTTTTAGAAGGTTAATTAATAGTAATCTCAGGTATTTTTATAACATAAATTTATATGGACGTGCAGTGATTTAAAAAAAAATTAAACACAAGTTTAGAAGACTTTAACAACATTACAGACACATTTGTGCCAGTGGTTGAGTCACAATCATTGTTCACAAATGACTATGACTGAATTCATAGTTTGAGTCATACATGCATGTGTCACAGTCTGCAGTGTTGATCTTAGAAAGAATAAGACTTTTCTGATCTGAAACAGCAACAGACTCTACAGAGGGGATGGGTGAAGTACTGAGCACTAAACAAACACGCATTGTATTCACTTTCTACAAAAGGTTATTCCGTCCTGTGCTTCTTGCCAAGGCAAATTTACACAAATCTGCCAAAGAACAGGTTTAATGATGACCTGTACACAGACCTTCAGGAGCCTCACTGTAGATTTCATAGTTACATTTACTCAGTTCATTATCAGCCGTATGGTTCCTGATAGACAGGATAGACAGAGAAGGGTTTTCTTTAACATATATTCAACAACCCTCAGAAGGACTTGGACCAATACAAAAATATATAGAAGAACATTCTTACTTCAAAAACAGATCCCCCCCCCCCAATTTTATTTATCCTTTATTTATCCAGGTAGTCTCAGTGAGTCACAAGGACTCATTTTCGTTTTAGACAGACAACTATATACAGCAATAAAAAAATAATTAAAATAAAAATAGTGTTATAAAAACACTGTTACTGTTAGCAGCATGGTCCTATTAGTAGAGTGGTTCTGTTAACAGTGTGGTTCTCTTAGTTAGTTAGTTAGTTAGTTAGTTAGTTAGTTAGTTAGTTAGTTA